GGACGCGCCACTTTAAAACGTCGCATCATCATCATTCGACCTGCATCCGATGACGAGCGCGGATGATGCTGCGCTCCTGGCGCTCTTGACGGGCGACGACGTCCTGACGCTGCACAGCGACGAGAGCTCGCACGCGGCCAACGACAGCGACGACGTCCTCGAGGTGGTCGACGACGACAACGTGGACGTCCATGATCTCTCTGCCTTTCTTGCCGAGCTGCCCGCCTTTGGCCCAGTCCCAGCCGCGCCGACAAAGAAGCGCCGCGCGCACGACGGGCCCAAGGAAGAGATAGCCTACTTGCGTCAAAAGCAACTCGCCCTCGCGACGCAGCTCGTGCGGCTCACGCAGGCCACGAGCATCGTCGACTCGGACAATGGCGCGTGGCAGCGGCGCGCCGTCAACCAACAGCACGCGGTGCAGCGAGCGCTTCAAGAAAACGCACGCTTGCGCGAGCTCCTCGAGGGCCAGCTCAAGCTGGTCCAAGCCCTCGAGCGCGTGCTCATCAAGCGGCCGCGGCTCTCGCTTTTTCCCAAATGCTCGGCGCTCGACGCCGTCTTGGGTATCGCGGAGCGGGAAGCGTCTTTGGAAGCGCTCTTCCAGGCGCAGTACGACACGCTCGAGATGCACTGGGTGCGTCACGGCCTCTTTCAGTACACTGACAGTGGTGACGCGACACGCAAGGCCAACATTGAGAGCTTGGCATTTGGTGGTACAATGCACCTCAATTCGCTCCTTGGGACGCCCTGCTCGCTTCCTTTTATGGCCTTGAGCGACATTCTCTGGGACCTCATGACGAACGAGGTGGCGCCGTCGTGCCAGGTACGGTGCTTGTCTCGATACCTCTCAACCAGGACGTGGGCTCGTAGCTTCTCGAAGAATTTCATCCGCAGCTGCGCTATCTCCGGTGCGACCTGTCGTTGTCGTCGCATGGTTGACTCATGTCGTGCGTTGCGCCATAGCTACGACATGGAACTGCACGATTCCAAGCTCCCGACTCTCGAGTCGCGGCTCGCCCACCGGCGCTTCAACGAGCCAAACCGCGTCGTGCTATTGACGCGCTCGATCGTCGACGATGGTGTATTCCCGCACACGCCAGGCCACTTGATCGAGAACCGAGCCACGTGGTATACTCGCTCCGCACCGAGAAGCCGTCCCAACAAATGACACGTGTAGGTCGGTCATCTCGTATAAAGGCCCCAACGAGTGCTACTTGGCAGTGTACGTGAACGTCGCGCTGCCCATCTTCCCCGTCGATATTGAAGCGATGCAGCCGGCCGCGGGGACGCTCACCGAGCTCCTTTTACAGCTCACGGCGTCCAACAGCGAGCGCTTTGGCGCGCGTGTCCAAGACGCCATTCGTACGCGGCACCCCCACACGGTCCTTGGCCCACGTCCGAGTCTCTTGATGCATGGAGACAATGCCAGGGCGACCATGCTGTTGCCGCAGCCCGACGCCAAAAATGTTTAAAAATGCTGTTTGAGGTCGATACATGTATTAATGTTCTGTCAGCGCGTTTTGTGTCGACTTGTACGCGATAATGGCATCGCGGATGCGCGATCCAAATTTTTCGCCGTTTTCTTTTGACATTTGCAAGAGGAGCTCTGTGAGCGTGCCGACCGCGGGCTGCGCCGACTCGTCGTCGATATGCATACTTGGCGTCGTCATGGTGCCGTAGACAGCCAACATGCTCTCGTCGGGCGACTTGCGGTGCGTGACCGACCTAGTGTCGACATGACAAATTGTCCACAGGACGATTTTGAAACGCCTACCACCCGAAACGGTTCTCGACCAGATTGCCGCGGCTGTGCGGCAGCAGCTTGTCGTCCAGGATCGTGTGCCATGCGATAATGACGCGGTCCGATTGCATCCATCGACGGTAGACCACACGGGCCTCGAGAGTCGGCATTGTCGGGTCCGGGAGGTCGCCAAAGTGTCTACAAAACTGTCAACATTAAACTAAACCATGGGCGTATACTTGACGTAAATAAGGTCGGGATGGTAGACCTCAAGGACCTCGCTGCGTTTCGAGCGCAACTTGGTCGTCATGTGCTCCCACGTCAAGTTGGCCATCGCAATGTAGTCCAGAGGAATGTGCGTGCAATGGACAAAGTGCAAGGTCATATTTTCCTGGCCTTTCGTTTCGACGTGCGAGCGCAAGACAGCTTCGTTGGCCTCGACAGCGTCAAACAAGCCGTGCCGGATCCACGCGGTCTCGAGCTTCTCGAGCTGGTGCTGCATGAGGGCCTCCAGGCTGGCTTCGCGATCGAGTACGTCGAGGACGCCGTGCTTCCACTGTGCATCAGCCATGGTTGGGAACGTCGACAGCCGAGGCTTCTTGGCAATGACACGCTGGAGCGCCTCGAGCACCTTGAGCTGATCTTCGAGCATGGCCTTGAGTCGCAGGTTCTCTTGGCGCGACCGCTGCGCCGCACGGGCTTGTTCCAACGCCCGGCCTTTCCACGGATCGTCGGTCGGCACCAGCGCCTGTCGCTCTTGGAGCGTGTGTAGCTGTCGCGTGAGGTACCGGTGTTTGGACTGGAGGTACTCGATCTCTTCCTTTGGGTTGCCGGCCAAGCGGCGCTTCATTTGGCGCGTCTCGCGCGTCGCGCTGTCGTCCGACGAGACCTCGGGCGACGCAAAGTCGGTCGTGCGCGAGAGGAAGGCCGCCATCGTTTCGATCGTCGCCGCATCGTCTTGCAGAAGAGCGAGCACCTCGGCCATGTCGTCGCCCATGTAGCGTGATGATGCGCGTTGAAAAATGTGGTACCATCACTCTGCCGTAACACACTCGAAGACGTCCGAAGCCAGCCGCCGCCACCCGATGTTGGCGCCAAAAACCAACATCGCACCAGCTCCGAGTGAATGATGACGGTGTGTTGCTACCTGCTGCTTGGTCACGGTCGCACAATTCGACAATGGCCTATCAACAGCGCTGGTGGTCGCTGCCGAGTGCATGGCGCGGCTATGTCGCCAGCGCACCGCGTCCATGTCGTACTGGACCTCGGGTCGCGGCATCCACGACAAATGCAGCAGGCTGCCTCACTGCGCTACAGCCGGCAGCGCGTGCAGTACACGAAGGTGTTTGCCTTGTTGCGCGCTACTGCATTCGTCTACCACCACGACAAGGCGACAACGCGCAACTAAAGAACGCGACGAGGCTGCGTACCAAGTCATAGCGCTACAGTCTTGCAGTGTCTCTCTACGTGGCGTTGACATCCTCTCGGCCTCTGCCGCAGCGTTGGCTCGATCGACGCTCTTTCCAGCCAAGTGCAATGTGGCCTTTCCCGGTTTTCTAAAAATAGACGGCTGAAACCTTTCACCATCAATAAAATATCGGCTTTTAGAGAATTGATACCGGCATGGCACACGACAGCACGGACGTCTGGCGCCTCCTCGAGGTGTCGGCCGACGACAGTGCGTTCCTTGCGTCATTAGCGGGCGCCGATGCGCCTCGCCCAAACCGGAAGCGCAAGACGCTCAAGTCGGAGATCGACTACCTGCGGGCCAAGCAGGTCGAGCTAAGCACCGAGCTGGCGCAGCTCCAAGGTCGCATCACCGCGATTCCGCGTGATGCCATTTGGCAGCGGCGCGCCTACGACCAGGCGATGGGCGCGCACCGCGCACTCCAAGAACGCGCGCAGCTTCAGGACGCCGTGCAGCAGCAGCTGCAGCAGCTGCACGCGCTCGAAGACGAATTTGTCGTGTCGGCCAAGCGCACCAAGATGGCACCGCCTAGCGTCCTGCAGCAAGAGGCCGTTCTGAACGCGAACGACCGCGAGGCTGCCCTGGAAGCGCTCCTGCAGCGCCAGCTTGAGAAACTCGATTCCGAGTGGGTGCGCCACCGCATCTACGATGCGGTGGACGCGAACGCGGTGCTGCAGAGCTCGCACTTGGAACCTCACGACGATACCGTCCTCCTTCGGTTTCTGCGCTGCGAACCGTATACGCTACCGTCCGATACGATGGCGTCGGTGCTCTGGACGCATCTCACACAGCGGTCGCCGCCGCCTGGCCACGTCTGCCGAACTATGAAAGAAGATCGCTCATCATGTGTTGCATAGGACGCCGAGACGTTTCACGCCGATCTCGCCTACACCAGGTGCGCTATCGATCCCAGCGCTCTCTGCCTACACATTCTAGGCAGAGAGCACTAGTCAAAGCACTTGCAGGCTCTAACTTTTTGACAACTAGGCAAGATTCGATCCTGGAGCTGCCATCCCGCCCAACGCTCGAGTCGCGCTTGGCATGCCGCCGGTGGACACAGAAAGGCCGGACGGTCATTGCATGGCGCTCGATTCTTTGCGACGCGCACAAGCCACACGACCCCAGTCACTTGATCGAGAACGCGTGGGGCTGGTACGTCCCTGCCATAGCTGCGGCTGCTGACAACTACGGTACCGATGACATAGGGCGGTGGCATATCCACGAGGCCCGGACGCGAGCTACTTTGCAGTGTTTTTGAGCATGACGGCGCCGCTCTCATCGTCGTCGTCGACGCAGCACGCGGACGACGTTGGCCTTCTCACGGAGCTCCTTTTGAAAATCACACAAGACAACCGCGAACAAGTCACAGCATTTGTCCATCAAGCCGCACAACGCGCCGCGCCATCGTGAGAGATGTTGTACCGGATAGCCCTAAACCTTAAACAATCGTACTCGTGGCAACTGGCGCGACCGTTGCCCACCATCGCCACATCCCTTTCCGAGCGAAAATTGCGTCATGAGCGTGTTTGTTATGCATGCCGTTTGGTGTTTGGCGCATCTCGGTGGTACCATCATCCGTTTTTGTGCAGCATGAACGATGTGACGGGATATTTACATCATGCAAAATCGGGTTTTCTGAAAAGAATCACAAGGCAATAGAAATCCAAAGTTAGTTTGGTTTCTCACGAGTTGTTTCAATGTACTAGTACAAAGTGGACCACAGAGTCCCAATGCCCATGCACTGTATCGTGTTTCGTTGGTTCTATTCTCGCGACTTCGGCCGACGCACGCACATCGTGCGGGGCTGGTAACGATGTGTTGCGGCACCGGTTCACCAAGGCGTCCCTACGTTAACGGTGTGGCTCAATTTCTATGCATCCGAGACCGCGTACAACTGCGGACGCTGACACGACGCAGAGTCAGCAAAAATGATGCTACGACCGACACCCACCCACAACAGCCCCACCTTTCCCACCCAGTAATTGCGCATACCGGCGAACGCTGCTTTCCAATGCGGGTACATCTCGCAATCGCCCGACAGGCCCTCGTGGCGACCTTCGTGGCAGTGCCAAATCGAGTCACCGCGCTATCCTTTATCCAGAAAAGCTATCCATTTTTTTTAAATATTCCGTTTTAGCGCGCCGTAATCGTTGGACCGCGATGACTATGCTTGTAAAACATAGTAACGCGAAATTGAATATGATATGTCCTCTGCTCAAGCCCGAAACAAGCATTTTCTCACGCGTCAAACGGTCGATGGCAGTGCACTGCCTCCGTCATGTGCGTAGCGTTCTCACCACATCCTGGCGTTGAACCGTCAACACGGTATTGAAGAAGTTATCTTACTGTCACTATACCGTCGGGACATCAATTCGAGTTGTCACCCAAAGAGTGAACACCGGCGTCGAACGAAGGATTACGCTCATTCGAAGAAGCGTAACTTGTCGTACGTGTTGGCTTGTATCTCCTAAACATACTGACCTCAAAGCAACCAAAAGCATGCGCTCCATGTGCGGTTGATCGCATGCCACTTTGCGTTTTCCCACCATGACGTTGGTCGATAGCAATATCTCGTCAGAGAGCCTCCTGGCCTTTCTCGCTGAAGCGTCGTTCACACCGCCGCCGTCCCCACCGGTCCAGATCCAGCGCGCGTCCAAGCGGCTGCGGCACAATCCGAAAGACGAGGTCGCGTACCTGGAGACGTCGCTCATGCACCTCGAACGCCAGCTGCACAGCCTTCGCGAACACGAACTGCAAACGTCATCGCTCTCGGGTCCGTGGAAGCTGCGCGCGATGAACGAGGCCCACCTCGCGCAGCGTGCACTCCTTGAGAACGAACGGCTCAAGGCCGCTGTCGACGACCAGCGCCACAAACTCCGCGCGATCGAGCGCCTTAGCCTCAAGCGCCCCAAGCTCGCGCCCGCGATCACCGACGAGCTGCTCTGGAAACAGGGCATTTTAAGCTCCGGCGACCGCGAAGCGCAGCTCGAAAAGTTGCTGTTGCACCAGCGCGAGGTGCTCGAGTCCGAGTGGATCCGGCATGGCTTGCTCGATGTCATTGAGCGCTTTGAGCCGCTCCAGCGCATCACGACGACCCAGAGCCCGCTGGATCATGGCCCCGGCGACGTCCATGTCGTCAACTGCGCGGTGATTCCGCTTCACTTTCGTGCCATGTCCAATGTTGTTTGGGATCTCAAGCGCAAGCGCAAGGACTTTGGCAATCCGTCGACACGCGATTTTCATGCCAATTTGATGTATGGCCGGTGCGTACAGTCCATCGATTGCATGACAAAATTGTATTCTAACGACATGCGAACATAGGGATCTCACGAGCGACGATCTTCCAAGCATGCCACCCGACCTGGACTCGCGCTATGGGAATCGGCGGTACATCGAGGCCAATCGCATCGTCATCGTGTGGCGTGCGATCCTCGAAGACCAAGCGCACCCGCATGCTGACGGCGCATGGATTGAGAATTCGCGTGGCTGGTAGGACGACAAAAGCGAGCGAGAAAAAGAGAATCCTCATGAATGGTGTGGGATTAGGGTCACGATCCACGACATGGGCGACAACGAGTGCTACTTGTCAGCGGTAGTGACGATTTCAACGCCGATGCACGCCACCGCCAACGACAATCGCGCGGCCGAGACGATGCGGGATCGCCTCTTGCAGTACGCCGAAAGCATGTGCAAAATCATGGGCAACGCAGTCGAAGACGCCGTCCGCGCCCACTTGGCCAAGGTTTAAGCTGCGAGTGGTGACGACGTTTTGTACACTATTATAAATATGACTATATAAGAACTTGGTACATTATTGCTTTGGAACTAAGACGGGAACGTTGTTGACGAGTGTATCGATGGCATACCCTACCCCTATGTAAAGTGCAACGTCGCAAGACGAATCAAGCAAGTCCGTGCACGCGGCCAAGACGTGCCCAAAGCATCAACTGGATTCAACATGATGTGGTGGCAAACCGTCCATCTCGATGGGTTGCTGGGGCGCGAGGCTTGTCATGATGGAGGCTGAGAACGTCCGCGCTTGCTCTTCCTCGGCCCGCAAAAGCAGCTCGGTCCACGTACCGACAACAGGCTTCCGCATGTGCATGTTGTCTGGAAAAATGGGCGTCGAGAGCGCCACATACAACAAGATCTGAGATTGCGTCGGGCTCTTGGGTACCATCACAGTCCTAGACCTGTTGAAATCCGGTAAATCTACCACACGTTCACGTACCAGCCGTGCCGGGCATCAATCAGGTGGCCCGCCGCGTGTGGCAGCAGCGCATCGTGGACAATGGAGCGCCAGACAACTACGACGCGGCCGTCGTGGTCGTAGCGCCGCGCTGCGGTCCGCACCTCGAGCACGGGCATCGTCGGGTCGTCGAGTGTGATGACTGCTTTTGTGTACACGAGGTCGGGCGCCTCGTAGAGCAAGCGCTGCATACGAATTAAAGACATGTTGGCCAAAATATCATAGAGCGTGTACCTCGGTGGATGGACCAAGCTTGGTCGTCATGTGCTCCCAGACGAGGTTGGACAGCGCCGCATAGTCAAAGGGGCCGTTCCCGAGCCGCACAAAGTGCAGGTGGAGGTTGTCGTCGACGGTTGTTTCGACAAACGTCTTGCGCGTCGATGTCCCCCGCGCAGTCAGGTCGTGGAGGCCAAAGCGAATGTGGTCGCTTTCGATCGCTTCGTAGTCGTGCTGGAGCAGCGCGCGCAGGTCCGTGGCACGGTGCTCACAGCCCAAGACGCCATAGCGCGCCATCGATGGAAACGCCGACAGTTTGGGCCGCTTCAGCAGCATGCGTTCCATGCCGCGGGCCAGCGCCAGCTGGTCGTGCACGAGGGCTTTGAGCCGCGCATTTTCTTGCTTGGCGCGCTCGGCGGCCTGCGCCTGTTCGATGGCCCGCACCTGCCAGACACCAGCATGAGCCGGAATTGCGTGCTTGTCGCGGAGCAATTCTAACTGCCGGAGAAGGTAGCGCTGCTTGGACTGCAGGTACGCGACCTCGTCGCTGGTCTTTTCGCGGACGCGGCGCTTGCGGCTGCCATCCGTGTTGTGCGTCGCTGTCTCATTGCCAAAGTCGCGCGTCGATGCCAGAAAGGCCGAGAGATCAGTCACAGACGGCGCGGCGTCGTCGCTGTCCAGGACCCTCTCGAGGTCCCGAAGCTCCGTGGGGTCCATGCGGACGACTGGAATAGAAAGGCGGCAGGTTTTGTCAAAACGACGTACACTCGCGATCAGGAATGATGGTAAGGGCACTTTGCCGCAGGCTGGTCGACACGCGACAACAGTCAACGCACTGGACACGACGAATACGACGTACTAGTACTACATCAGGATAGGTCTACCTCGTCTTTGCAAACGACAGACTATAATAACCTGTCGGGATTGAGCTGTTTGTATTCGCCAAGCCATCGCAACCCTTGAAATGAACACCTCTCAGAAGCAGTCGCTAGTCCCCCAGTCGTAGTTTGCCATGAGCGACTAACTCGCATCGTACAGCACGGTTCCGCTGTTACGGTACGAGTACTCAAGCAACAACAATGGCATTCGATCGATACCGAGTGCGGCCGTGTGAGGGCGAAATGGCGTGGCCCGTGGCGCGCAGGACGTGGCGTAGCGTACATCGATGACGCGACTCGCAACGGACACAAACATGGCATGTATACGCCGACTGTGCCACCGACATTGGGCCATAATCTTGGGTCAACATCCGTGGGTGGTAATCAAAGGATTTTATTCGCTTGGCGGTAATCACGTCGATGGAGGCCGGCGCACAAGGCGCTCCAGTGCTCGGTGAAATTTGGTGTGCACGAGCTCTATCCTGCGCACGACGCCTTCAATACATGCTGGCACGTTCTATCCAGTGCATCGGCGTTTGTCGACTTTGAAGTCGGGTCAAAACGACGAGTTTTTGTAAAAATACCTGTATTTTACCGTTTTTACGGAATAAAGACGGTGGCGGAAAGGTCGGGAGTGGTCGTGTCGCAGGGTCGAGATTGCTGTTGACGCGAGGTCCGGCCATAACGTCGGTGGCATGAACGAGCTCACGTTTACGGAAGAGATGGAGATCCTCGAGATCATCCAAGGCCACAGCGCGTCCATGGGCTTCCTCTCGACCTTCCTCGCGACCGAGCCGTCGCTGCCCGCTGATGACATTGCACCTGCCAAGGCGCCGCGCCGGACGCGCACCAACCCCAAGGCCGAGATCGAGTACCTTCGCACCAAGGAAAAGTCGTTGCGCCGCCAGCTCAAGAGCATGCACGAGAAGCAGGCGAAACAAGCGACGAGCAGCGCCTGGAAGGGCCGCGCGATCCAGCAGGCGCGCTGCGCCCAGCGCGCGCTGCTTGAAAACAACCGCCTCAAGGAGGCCGTCGAGACCCAGCTGCAGTTTGTCGAAGCCTTTGAGCGCGTCTTGGAGAAGCAGCCCAAGCTCTCGACGTTTGCAGCTTCCAACGGCCACGCGCTTTGGAAGCAGGCCGTGCTGAGCACGTCATCGCGCGAGTCGGATCTTGAGCTCTTGCTGCAGGGCCAGCGCGACAAGCTCGAGTCGGCGTGGATTCGCCACCGCTTGCACGACGCGATCGCGCAGCGCGAGGCCATCCAGAAGACCTTTGTCGACTATAGCTCGGACGTGGGCATGCGCATCAACTTTGTCCGTGGCGGCCTCATTCCGCTGAGTCTCGACGACATGAGCGACTTGCTGTGGACCCACGTGACGACACCGTTTGACGCGTCGTGCTCGGTACGTGCTTCTATTTGTTGCACGATATTGTCATGTGTCGGACATTAGATGCTCCAAACGTTTCATAGCGACCTCGTCTACACTCGGTACTAATGTTGTAGCGTTCACCACTCACTAATTTCTTTGAAATGGACATAGGCAAGATATCAAGCTCGCCGACCCGGCCATCCCGATTCTCGAGACGCGCGCGGCCATTCGCCGCTACAAGGAAGCTGACCGCACGGTCGTCGTGTGGCGGTCGATCGTCGACGATCATTTGCTACCCCATGAAAATGGGCATCTCATTGACAACCGTGTGTCCTGGTAGAAATGTCACGACAGCTATGAGAGGTTGAGGAGTATGATATATGTAGGGTTACGTTGCATCCGGTGGACGCGCAACAGTGCTACATCTCGTCGCACGCAGTGATTTTGACACCGTTGTTTCCAGCCAATATTCCCGAACGGCAGCCGGCGGTTGGCTCGTGGACAGAGCTTCTCTTGCGCGCTTCGGACGAGCTCACGGAAAAATTTAGTGCAAAGCTGTTTGCTGCTGTCCTGAGCCGCCAACGTGCCCTCCAGGCGTGATATTGTAACATCAAGAATGAATTTTCTAGAAACTTGACGGCTTTTTGTAAAATGGCGTGGAAATGGCACGTGCAACATGGTTATCCTCATCGACTAGAGTCGGCATGTTATTCTGCTTGGTGGTCGAGCGACCCATCCGAGCCTACTGCCATATTTGACGAATGCGCCGGCTCCAGAACGATTGGATTCACTTTTTCATGTCTTCTCTTGGCCCATCGCGAGGTCGCGATATCGCGTTTGAAAATGAAATGACCAAGACTTAGTACCGGTACATTGAGAGGACGCTTTGGACTGACAGCGAGGTGACGTTACCATCCAAGGCATACAACGCTCTAAGATGCATCTGCGGTTCACGCCAGAAATAAGATCGTAGTGCCATCTCAGTGGTACCATTCCAGGACGCCGAGGCCCGCTTGTCGACAACATCGAGTTTGAAATGGAATCGCTCATAGTTGGCACAGTGATGCAAGACACTTTCGGGAGCAGAGCAGTGCACGATTCGACCTCGTTGCAGGGCTACACCGCGCACAGTGCTCGACAACATATATAAAGCGCTCTTAAAACGTTAAAAAGCAGCCACGTTGGCACGCTGTGACTTGGCGCTGTCTTGGCCACAGCGCTCGAGGCAGCAGCAATGTGCCTTCTACCTTGACGCGCGCGGATGCCAGCGACGGTGACGGTCTGTCGAGCGAGACCAAGGGCTGTTGGATTCATCTTTTGACTCGAACCGCAGCATCCGCCACGTCTATTGAGGCGGCGAATCACAGTTGGTACTCGTTTTAACAATACAGCGCTCGGGGTTTCCTTGATGCAGCTCATCTCGTTCTGGGCACCTCATGGACCAAAGTCACGCTGGCAGTGGCGACATTGCAGCGGATATGAGAATATCATCCAATCACAGCGCGAGTACGTTGTGATTCGCCCATTTCACCCAATCCACACGCGAGCATGCTTGAAGCGCACCGATTGGCTGGCTCGAATTCGGATACAACGTTCGCCGATGGCCGACGAGGACCTGGACCTGCTCGAGGTCATCTTCGGGGCGACCTCGGACGCATCGACCGAGGATCTCGCCGCCTTTCTCGCGGCCACACCGGCCTTTGGACCCTCTCAACGCAAGCGGCGGTACCAAGAGCCCAAGGCCGAGATCGCTTATCTGCGCACCAAGCGCGATGACCTTTTGGCGCAGCTGCGTGCGCTTCAGCCGCAGCAAGACGTCGCCGCGCTGTCGCCGTGGCAGGTACGCGCCACCGAGCAGGCGCAGCTTGCCCAGCGCAGTTTGCAAGAGAACGTGCGGCTCCGCGGCTACGTGCAAGACCAGCTCCGCGTGATCGCGGCGCTCGAAAACGTACTCGCCAAGCGGCCGCGACTCGCCGCCTTTGCCTCACACGAAGCCGACCGCAGCGTTCTCGGTGCCTTGCACCGCGAATCCACACTCGAGCAGCTTGTTCAGCGCGAGTTTGACCGGATCGATTCGGTGTACGTTCGCCACGGCTTGTACGGCATGCTGGCGACCGCGACGCCAGTCCGCCGAGCATATGTGCAGAGCACGGACGACATGCTGCAGCTCAGCGTTCTCACGGGCATGATCATGGACTTTCCAATGGCAGGCACGGCCGACCTCATCTGGGCCGACAAGACGGGCGTCAAACCAAACAGCACGGTACCCTTGCGTGACGCGATCTCTGGACGCACCATGCGGCTAGGTACTCGCTACGATCCACACCGACTTGGTCTACGTCAAGTACGACAACTTGTCTTCGATTGGAATCGAACCTGACGTGTAGAGAGGTGTCGAGTGCCACGTCTCACGCCGCGGTGCCGCCGCTGGAAGCGCACATGGCCGTGCGGCGCTACACGTTTGCAGACCGCATCGCGATCGTCTGGCGATCGGTCCTCGAAGATACCGAGTGTCCGCACGCGGCAGAAAATTGGGTCGACAACCGGTCGGGCTGGTTAGTGGACTCGATATCAATCCGCCAATCATCGTCGATCTAGGATTGTGGTCCACGCCACAGACGACAAGGACACGTGCTACCTGCAAGGATACATCACGCAGACGACTCCCATCGTACCAGACGCGCAGCCACCGATCGTTGGCGGTCTCTCAGAGCTCTTTCTTACTGCGTGGCAGTCCAACTTGAGCGAGTCGTGGCACAAACTAGATGTCAAGAGCTCGCGGGCGTGGCTGAGCGACATGCACACCAAGTATCTCGAGGCGTCCAAGGCTGCTGAATCTTCTACGTCATAAGTCGGTGCCCTTCCTACGAGTTCTTCAGTTGTACACAATTTGTTGATCGAGTGCACAGGATGGAAGGGGCAAGGTATAGCGGTGCGATGCTGGCTTGGTTAGGTTTTCGATTCCAGAGCTTGCCTTTCGGGCTCAGAGTCAAGATGGACCCCAGCTGGTTACCGCCGATGCCATTCCCTTGCGTACTCGAGAGAAGATCCGTCGAGATCCCAACTTGATAGGTCCGATGTAAACGGCCGTAGGAAAGCGAAGTAAGGGACTATGCCTATGGACCTTAAACCTCGCACCTCCTGCACGAGAAGCATGTATCTGCCGACTGGACACAAGGTGGTCTTGGACTCGGTCACCAAGCTCCTACCTAGACCACTTGTAGAGACAACCTTCACATACAAACGACAAGATTTGAACGCACACAACTTGTTGCGTCCATCGCCGCTTGGTAAAGACAAGCAGCGGTCTCCACTGAGCCCACAGCGCAAGCTTGCCGACGATATTCCTCGGCGCGCGTCAACCCACCCACCGGTCGCGACGTGTGCTTTGTCCCGCTTTGACGGCAGTGATCAACGATTACGGATCAATGACCCAACGTCATCACTCGTGCCAACGAGGCGCTCGATGCCACGGTCATCATCGCACATTACTGAAGTTTGCACCGAATGACTACTACGAGAATGGACCAACTATGGTCGACGGACGATCCCAGCTGCATCGCCGATATGTCGGCCTTTCTCGCACCGACAAGAGACTTTGGCCTCGATGCGAGCAGCAGCGCGCCGTCGAGCCTTAGCTCGAACGACGGTGTGGTGCATTTGACCAAGAAACGCACGCGACCCAAGCTAGAGATCGAGCGCCTCCACGCCAAGCATACGGAGCTCCAGCGCCAGCTCCAGCTTCTCCAGCTATTGCGCCCACCGCAGAGAGCGCTTACGCCGTGGCGCGCCCGGGCCATGCGCCTCGCCGAGGCTGCCCAGCGCGCGCGGCAAGAAAACACCCGCCTGCGAAGCCTCGTCGACGACCAGCGCCGGCTCCTTGAAGCGCTGAAGCGTACGGTGACGAAGCGACCCCGCCTGGCGTCCATTGAAAGCGACGGCCAGCTTCACGTCGCCGCCAAATGGGGCCTTCTTTTGCAGGAGCAGTATGGCAAGATGGAGTCCGAGTGGATCCGGCGCCGACTCTACGACGCGGTTGAGCCATTACGACACACGACGCTCGAGCGCAGCACCAAGGACGGGGCGATGACAAGATTTGGGTTCCTTGCCAAGATGCATGCGCCGCTCGACTACAAATCGATGGCCGACTTGGTCTGGACGCATAAGCCGTTGTTTCTTGGTCCGTCGTGTTCGGTATTTTTCTATCGAGAAGGACAAATCTGTACATCTCACGCTATCGTTAGGTATACCACACGATCCACACCGACATGGTGTGTACGCGGTACGTTCTAGCTTGTGGAGTGCTGCTCCGAACACCACTCCTTCATTATTGATAGAGAACTCACGCACTTTTCGGATCTCGACATACCCGTGCTCGAGACCCACGACTGTTTTGGCCGCTTTCTCAAGCCAGATCGGGTTGTGATCGTGTGGCGAAGCCTACGCGAAGATGAAGCAATGGTTGCCCCTAACCCCAGCCATCTTGTGGGCCACCGCTGCGGCTGGTATGATAACCACTGTGTCTGCATTTCACCGAATGACGAGCTAGGTTACTCATCGAGAAAACGACGGCGTTCGAGTGTCGTGTCCAGTGCAGCATGTCAACAACGGTACCGACACTTCCAGCCAGCGCCAGTGCAACCGAGGTAGCGGCGTGGACCGACCGCCTATTGAAGCTATCGCAAACAAGCAAGGACGCGTTTGGCGCTATGATTCATACTTCCGTCCTCGAGCGTCGGGAGCAACTCGGTCTCTCCAACCACGCAGTCGACATGCTCGATGTCACGGATGTCCCTATTGAAAAACTAGGGTGCTAATATATGATGCGCGATTAGCAGGTCGAGCTCTTGTCTATCTGTGCTTTTGCCTAGTCAGATCAAAATTACTGCACTAGTAGCCGACGACGACCGGGGCCCTGCCGGGGGCCGTTGCGTCAGCCATTCTGCACCCGTCTGGCGACGTAAAAGTGTTACCGCCATTTTGAGAGTTCAGGGGTCGTCCTAAACCTCTCTCGACGCCGACAATGTTCTTGCATCATTTTTCCAAAGCTTCTACTTACTTGCTGATAGCTCTTGCTGATAAGTCATTGACATCATTTAGGATAGTAAAGATACACTATGTACGTGGAATGGGCTCAAAAAGCCAGCAACAGACAATATTGTCCTTGCTCGTGCAGGTTACGCGATGCGTTCAGACTGGGACATGCGATTACGTCGCACCAACGCCAGCGTGATCCCAGGCTGCCACGTTGTACGGTTATCGGCCAATCAAAAGAGTGCAGAATGATTGTCGTTGGCATTTTCGACGAAAAGGCAAGGTCACCACAGCAACATTCGATGGCCGACTGCGTCATGCCGACGGTGTTCCCAGACGAGGACGAAGCTACGTGCATGGCACACATCTCGGCCTTCCTCGCGACAACCTCCGACTTTGGCCTGGACGCCAGCGCGTTGCCAACGTCGACTCACGACACGCCGTCGAGTCCGAGCTGCGACGAACCTTTGCTCCCTTCAAAGAAGCGCAGCCGACCCAAGCACGAGATCGAGCACCTCCACGCCACGCACGCCGAGCTTGAGCGTCAGCTGCAGCTTCTTCAATTGCTGCGCCCGCCCTCAAAGGCCCTCGGTCCCTGGCAAGCGCGTGCGATTCACCAAGCCGAGGCGGCCCAGCGGTCGCTCCACGAGAACAGCCGCCTCAAGGACCTCGTGGCCGAAAAGCGCAAGCTCTTAGACGCTGTTGAGCGCATCTTGACCAAGCGCCCGCGCTTCGCACTGACAGAACCGAGCCATGACGAGAAAATGGAGCAGCGCTTGCAGCTTCAGTTGGACCAGATGGACTCGGAGTGGATCCGGCGACGGCTCTACGATGCGACTCCTTCGACACGAGAAACAACGATTGAGCGCAGCGCGAAAGATGGTGCCATTGTCAGCTTTGGCTCGGTCGCCAAGCTCGTTGCCCCGTTGGACTTTGAGTCGATGGGAGAGTTGCTGTGGGCCCACAAGGCGAGCTACCTCGGGCCGTCGTGCAGGGTACCTGCTTGGGTTATTCTCTGAGCTAATGTAGTGAGCTAGGTGCAGCGCGCAGCCCACAAAAACCTCGCTTACACCCGGTACACGACGTTGCTCCTTGCTACACTCTCAACCTCTTGGTATAGAGAACTCGTCCACATTGCCGACTTCAGCCTGCCCGCGCTTGAAACGCAAGACTGCTTTCGCCGCTTTGTCGAGCCGGACCGTATCGTGATCCTCTGGCGAAGCCTCTCGGACGACGAGGACATCGCGTTGCCTGCTGCCGGTCATCTCATTGGGCACCGCTGGGGCTGGTGCGCTGCGTTTGCATGAGGTTCACTAAGTTGCTTGGGTCGTAGGCTCGAAATTGAGCGCAAAAATACGTGGGAAACCACAGTCCGATGCAGCATGACGACGCAGATACCGAGCTTGCCGGCTACGGAGCCGATCAGTGCGGCAAGTGCGTGGTCGGAGCGCCTCATGCAGTGGTCGTTGGCCAACAAGGAGGCCGTTGGGAACATTATTCAGGCCGCAGTCATGGAGCGGCGGCAGCAACTCGGTTTGACTACCCACGCTGCTATCTTTCAGGATCTCAAGGAGCTCCCGATTGTGCATCGAGAAGAACTCTTCTAGTATGTTGACGTCAACGACGACTACAAGTCCTTCATTTTAGAACGAGTTGTATACGTTCTGAGCTTCGGGTGCTGCATTTGTCCGTGCTTGCTCACCGACGGACATGCTACCAAGGACATTGCCGTAATGGTACGGAGGACCGTGCTCCCGGCCACCGTTTTTTGTTGATTTTTCGGGATAATTTCGACTTGAGCGAAAAAGTACGATGGGCCAAGTGCGGAACGATAGGAGTGAGCAACTTGGTCAACCAAGCGAGGGCACGTCATCTTCCCTCTAGCGGTAAACGCCCACTAGGTCTTTTGGTCACATAACACGCTGTGGATGAAACACAATACTCCAGTATCCATTTTACCGCTGAGATTTTGGTTGGTCAAAAATGGTGGTTCAATCACAGTACAATTGGTGTCTCGTAGAACTAAGAGAACGTCGGTGTTCGCTGTCGTGGTGCCAGTTGTTCTTGTTGCTTTTTTGCAACCACAGACGGCAGATCCATTTGCCTGGACATGACCAACAATGATGAGCCATCATCACCCGCACGTGATCACTTGCTCTTATATAGATTGTCGAATTTTATTCGCATTTCCACACACTTTTTCCGTACAACCAAGTACGATGAATGCGTGGTATGACGCTGCGCTGCCCGACGACGCTCGTGCGATGGCGCACCTGTCGGCCTTCCTCGCCACCACACCCGACTTTGGCCTCAGCTCGTCGCTCACCACTCTATCGTCAAGTCCGAGCTCCGACGACGACAGCGCCATCCAGGCCAAGAAACAAGCACGGCCCAAGCACGAGATTGAGATCCTCCACGCCAAACACAATGAGCTGCAGCGCCAGTTGCAGCTCCTACAACTGTTACGCGCGCCGCCGAAGCCGGTCACTCCATGGCAAGCCCGTGCGATGCGTCAGGCTGAGGCCGCCCAACGAACGCTGCAAGAAAACAGTCGCCTCAAGCGTCTTGTCAGCGACCAGCGCAAGGTCCTCTCTGCACTCGAGCGCAGCTTGCGAAAGTGCCCGCGCCTCGAATCCCCTAGCCCTAGTTACGCGGAAGACACGACACTGTTCCAGCATCTTTTGCAACAACAATTCGACAAGATGGAGTCCGAGTGGATTCAACGTCGACTCTACGACGCGAGTGCGCCACTGCGGCACACGACACTCGAGCGCAGCCCCGAGGACGGGGCGATTGCCAGCTTTCGTTTTGTCGCCAAGATGAGCGCGCCGCTCGACTACAAATCGATGGCCCAAGTGTTTTGGACGCACAAGACAGGGTTGCTCGGGCCGTCATGTTCGGTACTAGTACCCTCTTTTCGAGTCTCACCGCGATTTATTGGTATGCTGATTAGGTACACCGCACGATTGACCACAATATTGTCTATATGCGGTACCGACCAGCTGCTTTTCCTCGAATACATAAAAAATCTCGTGTAGAGAGCTTGCGCGCTACGCCGACCTTGGAGTCCCCGTCATGGAGACGCACGATTGCTTTGGTCGCTTCCTTGAGCCAGGTCGAGTGGTGATGGTGTGGCGAAGCTTGGGGCAAGGCGAGACGATCACACCCCATGGCGCTGACCATCTCGTGGGCCACCGATGGGGCTGGTACGATGCTATCTTTGAGCTTGAGCGACGTGTGATGATAGGCTCGTGATCGAGGAATCGAGTGCATTCGAATGCAGTGTGCAGTGCAGCATGACGACTAGGCTACCGACATTTCCAGCCAGCGCCAGTGCGACCGAGGTAGCAACGTGGACCGACCGCCTCGTCCAGTCGTCGCGCACCAGCAAAGACGCGTTGGGCGCTGTGGTTCAGGCCGCAGTCCTCGAGCGCCGGGAACATCTCGGCTTGTCCAACCGCGATGCCTCATTGCAGAATACACAGCACCGAGTCGCTATGGAGTAGCGCCCCATTTCTTCGAGTCGTTTGACGTACGAGTAATCGATAGAGCAAGTGCAATGAACGAAACGAATGCACGTTGGATTCTCGAAAATCGACATTGTCATTGACCTTGAGTAACAACAACACGTTGCGAAGCGACGCAGTGGTAGGCTTGACAAGGTTTTCCATCAAGCGGGACCGCTTTGTGGCTTGACGCCATGAAGCAGCAACCACGACATCACGTTTTGCATTTGGCAGTGACTCTCGTGTAGTTGCACGGTTGATGGTCATCGCTAGGTTTAACGTCCCAAGTGCTCTCCTGGACCATTCCATAGCGTTGAGGATGGCATGTCCGTGGAGACGCGATCGAGCCCTAACCCTTCAAGTTTTAGCCAAAAGAACGACGGATAATCTAACGCTGTAGCCGAGCGGCTCGAGTGACCGCAACGGCTACTTCCCACCGCACGTGGTAACACCGAAGGTCTCGTCACAAGGTGAGTTGTACAAACAGTAGAAGCTTTTACTCCAAAAGCACCACCTAAGAGCAGGGGATAAATGATTACGGGCGAGCTACCTAGCGTGATCACGCATACGAACCGACGGTGTCGACCGTTCGGATTGGCGTCAAAGACTCACCTCAAAAGTGAAAGGACCCAACGGCCGAGTGAGCCATTTAGCATGACCATGGATGATGCCACCGCCTTGGCCGACGACGAGGCCATGTGCATGGCACACATCTCGGCCTTCCTTGCGACGACGCCCGACTTTGGCTTTGGTAGCAGCTCGTCGCCAACATCTAGCGATACCAGCCTCTCGCGCCCAAGCGTCGACAACCTACGGTCGACGAAGCGCAGCCGCCCCAAGGATGAGATGGCGCGCCTGCAGGCCACGCACGTCGAGCTCGAGCGCCAGCTGCAGCTCTTGCAGCTATTGCGCCGGCCCCAGAGAACGCTCACGCCATGGCAAGCGCGCGCCCGGCGCGTGGCCGAAGCTGCCCAACGGTCGCTGCAGGAAAACAGCCGCCTGCGAAGGCTCATCGACGACCAGCGCAAGGTGCTGGATACACTGGAGCGTGCAGTGACCAAGCGGCCGCGCTGTGCACCGCTGGACAGCACCAGCGACGGAAGCGCCGTGGCCAAAATTCCGCAACTTGTGCTCGACCACTACGACAAGATGGAATCTGAGTGGATCCGGCGTCGGCTCTACGATGCCAAGGCGCCATTACGGCAAATGACCGTCGAGCGCAGCGCCGTCGACGGAACCATGAGGAGCTTCAGTATGGTCGCGAAAATGAGCGCACCGCTCGACTACACGTCCCTTGGCGATCTCTTTTGGACGCACAAGACGGGCTTCCTTGGCCCGTCGTGCACGGTACACCTCACACCACGGCCGTTGAAAGATGATGGTGCTACTTGTCGACTAGGTGCAGCACACAATCACGGACGACGTCGTATGTACGCGGTGCGTCAAAACATTTGGCTCGTGGTAGCTCTAAAGGAGCATGGCTTTAGAGAGCTCATCCACCGACCCGACGTGCCCGAGCTCGTGCTAGAGACACACGATTGTTTGGGTCGCTTCCACGAGCCAGGCCGGATGGTGATGGTGTGGCGAAGCCTCAGTGCAAACGAAACGATCACGCGCCATGGTGCTGATCATCTTGTGGGCCACCGCTGGGGCTGGTACAATGCGAGTGACGGCGGAGCATTGAGCTGTTGAACTTTGTAGGCTCATGGTCGAGCAAATATCCAAGTTTGAGTCTCTTGTCCAGTGCAGCATGACGACACGGGTACCGGCACAAAAGGAAACCCCCACCGCTGTCGCGCCCGCGTGGGTTGAGTGGCTCTTGCAGTTTTCACAAACCAGCAAGGACACGTTTGGCGGTGCCATGGAGACCGCGCTCTTTGCGCGCCGGGAAGAGCTCGGCCTTTCCAACGACTCGATCAATATCCAAGTTCTGATTGCGCACCCGACTCTGCACCGCGAAGAGGTCGTGTGACAGCACTTTGCACTTTGCACTTTCACGAACCACACCTCCCACAAGAATTAGGTAGAAATTGTAGGAGGGTAATTCCAGATCACAATGTACGCCATCCTTTCAATCGACTTGGTATGACTGCCATTTGCGCGCAACTCGAGCCTCGCTGGTGTGCACCACTCCGTCTGCTGAATGGCCATCGTAGTGACTCTGATTGACATATAGAGACTGTGGCAACACGACACTCGCCGGCTGCAAGTACGTTGTTGAGCGTACTATACGATCAGCCAGAATCTCAAAGCTGCAGTGCGATCATGGGATCAAGGTCGAGCGAATGTCGAGACACATCGATTCCCAGGCACCACTCGGATCGCGCGCCAATTCGCGTGCACGGGCGGCTGCAATGGCAACAACGTTGTACATGTTGTTGCTGCTGCTACTACAAACGCACAAGCTACGGCGGTGGCGACTCGAGGCAGTGAAGCAACGGCGCGAATGTGGCGGCGGAAATGACGGCGCTTGGCGAAATCTTGCGCGAAACGGTGCGACGTAGCAGCCGACGCCCTCGGACTTCGCCGGATGCAATTGCCGAGCTCGTGACTACAGTCATCACTTCCAACCATATCCGCTTCTCGCGTCCTCTTTCATGGAGCAGCAGGATCGCTCGTGTCATCGACACCACTGCAGTTTTGGCGTAGCTGGCGAGCAGCTTGCACTAACCAAGTCCTTGATCGTCTTCACGCGAGGACGTCCACCCACCTGTACACGCCCAATGGTCGCTGTCACATCCACGCATCCCGGCTGTTGGGTATCCTCCTCTTGAGTCAAGAGGAGGCTGCGCATCGAACCCGTTCGTTCGTCGGCCTTTCTAGGTGACGAATGGTGGTCGAGTTGGCTAAAAGGCCTCTGTGTACACGACGCTGTGTACAGCACTTCCGTGAAGGCTAGCCATTGTGGACAAAAGTGTCCTGCGACGGCAGAGCGATGCGCCATAGGTTCAGACAACGCCACCCGATTACGACGCCCCGACGTACGCGTCATCGGCCTTTGCCACGTGGGCGACGTCATCCGCCAATCCCGGGCTCGAGGAATGATGGTCTCGGCCTTTTTCATCGAATTCGGCGCAATGGCAAAGTCGATATCGTGCCACAGCAGCATATTCGATGGCCGACGCGTACTACCCGATGGAGATCTTGGAGGTGTTCCCGGACGAGGACGAGGCCACAAGCATGGCGCACATCTCGGCGTTCCTCGCGACGACCTCGGACTTTGGCCCGAGCTCGCCCACGACGTCGATCGACCCGGTACCCTCCAGCCCCAGCTCGGACGAGGCGCCGCCGAATCTGACCAACACAAAGAAGCGCACCCGGCGCGAGCGACCCAAGCAAGAGATCGAGTACCTCCACGCCAAGCACGCCGACTTGCAGCGCCAGCTACAGCTCCTCCAGCTGCTGCGCGCGCCGCCGAAAGCATTGCAGCCGTGGCAAGAACGAGCGATGCGCCAAGCCGAGGCCGCCCAGCGCACATTGCAAGAGAACAGCCGCCTCAAAAGTCTCGTCGAAGACCAACTCAAGGTCATCAACACGCTCGAGCGCATTCTGACCAAGCGCCCGCGTCTATCGACGTTTGGCAGCAGCCATCTCGACGGCAAACATCCCGTGCTCGGCGTCGCCAACCACGAAGTGGACTTGGAGCAGCTTTTGCAGCAGCAGTACGACAAGATGGACTCGGAGTGGATCCGGCGCCAGCTGCACGATGCGACCGCGCCGCTCAAGCAAGCGACGCTCGAACGCAGCGCCGACGGCGACACGATTGGCCTCGGATTCGTTGCCAAAATGAAGATTCCGATCGATTTTCGGTCGATGGCCGACGTGCTCTGGTCGCACAAGACGGGCCTTCTCGGTCCCGCGTGCACAGTACGTCGTATCACAAAAGGTCGAAAACCCTAACCTCAAGGGGTAGGTGTTGCACACGTACCACCCGAACCTCGTCTACACTCAGTATTGTGGCACCTTGCAGCTCGAGATCTGATGAGAGCGACGCGTAGAGAGATCACGGCCCTTCCAGATGCTTCGATGCCGATGCTCGAGACACGCGATGGCGTCCGCCGCTTTGACGACGCCAACCGCGTCGTCATTCTGTGGCGCAGCATCATTGAAGATGAAGCAAACCCACATGACCCCGGACACCTCATTGGCAGTCGCTGGGGCTGGTACAATTGCATGTCTCTGCAATACATCGCTAATAGCTAGGTAGGTTGGTTGTTGAGCCCACGGGTCGCTTCGAGTGCTGTATGCAAGGCAGTATGACGACGTTGACACCGACGTTCCCGTCGCATCTGGACGCTGTGGCGCCCGCCATCGGGACCTGGACCGAGCTCCTGCTGCAAGCGTCGCAAGAAAACAAGCAGAACTTTGGCGGCCTCATGCAAAATGCGGTCCTCGCACGTCGCCAGCAGCTCGGCTTGCCGATCGGCCCCGACATCTTTTTTGGACAAGACTGCCAAGCGCCCGTCGAAATCGTCTGAGTGTTTCGAATGCGTGTAATGATTTATGTAGAAAAGTATATGCCATTGGACGCACATTCAGCGAGGGACAGGTTGAGTTTCTTCTGCTACTGCTAGCCACCGTAATTCAAGTTGAAATGACGCGGGCATGTCATATGCAAAGTGAGTGGAATTCTGGCGTTTTGCATAAGGTGGTGCAGTCCTATCGTTGCATAACGTCACATGAGATGAGTGGTCACGCACGACACTGGAGTGGGTGGCATGTTCGTGTCGCTGCCATACAACGACGAACGC